GGAGGGGAGGCAGCCAAATACTGTGTCTTCACCCTCCACCCAACACCACTCACCACAAAAAAAAAAAAAAAAGTAAAACCATCAATGTTCCCCAATCATTTTCCCTTTCCCAGTGCTAACTGCTTCTAGTTTTGCAAAGGAGAAGAGAAGCACCTCTCCATTACACAAAAGTCTTCACAACAAGCAGCAAGGAGCAACTACTACTACAAGTCATGCTTTTAGCTCCATTGTTACAATAAGGAAAAATGAATTTTCTTAGAAGACTCAGAGTAGAGACATGATCATTTGGAAACAACCCATCTAATGACACCAGAAAATAAATTACTTACTATGTTGTACAAATAGTAGCACTGCCTTTAAAACAAAGTAAGCCTTCCACTCTCCTCAGCACTAGTAAGGGCTCTACAGGAGTACTGTGTCCTGTTGTGGGCACTAGAATTCAGATCTGGACCGGGGCGTGAGAGCAGAGAATCACAAAGAGAGCTCTCAAAGTCCTAACTTGTGAGAGTGAAAAGTTTCTTTTAAACAAGAGTGACCTAATTACATTGGCCTGTTGCATATTTTAAGACTTTTACACAGAAGGGAGTAATCCTATATATCAACTCTGCATAAACAAAGTAATACGGGCCTACCTTGCAGCAGAGAAAGTTTAGCTTAGGCAGTAAGAAACAACTTCCTAGCAGTAAGGATAGCAAACTACTGGAAGACAGACAGACCATAAGAAAACAGTGGAGTATTTATCTTTGAAATGGATGAAACAGATATCTGTAAGAAAAAAGAAAAAAAAAAAACAAACACTTAGAAGCGGTCCTCGAGTATACAGTGTTGGGCTGAGGATGAAAGATCGAGACTAGCTAACATATTTCATTTGCATGATACAGTTGGGGTGAAACAAAAACACAACAAGAATCAAGGCAAGCTGTGAGCTTCACAAGCTTCTGTTTCAGGCATGAGAAAGGCTTGTAAACTTTAAAGGTTATCTTTTTTTCCAATGCTATTAAAAAGCAGTTTTATAACAGAAATCATTTAGGTGGACCTGTTCCTTGAAGTTGGGGGATGCACTAATGACCTTTCAAAAATCTGTTTCACTCCTATTATCTGTGGTGCCAAACTTAAATCAAGAATCACCATAGAAAATACAGACTACAAGAAGGTTCACATGAAAACTGTAACTAGTTACCAAAAAAACAGTCAGCAAACTGTATACAAGAAGGAAAAAAAAAAATACAGTAAAGGACATTTCAAGCTCTGAAGGTTTAAGCAGCTTTCCTCTCAGTAACTGAGACAGCAACTGAGAGAGAAGCAATAGCTTTAACATTTTTAACAATCAGTATCCCTTACAGAAATGTAGTGCATGAGGAAGAATATCATTTTTCAGTCAGAGAGTCAGTCTGTTTTTTTATACATGTGAAATGTGTGGGCACTTCACATTTGTGGAAATCTAATCAAACTTAAAATAGTACTTACAAATCAAAAATCTACGAACATCTTCCAGAGTTTGATACAGGTAAGAGGGGAGAATAATAATTTTACATGATTTATTATGTATAAAAGCATATCTGAAGTACTATAGACAGTCTGTTAAGACAGCAAACTCTTTCCTCTATAGGCATATAACACGTGTCTTCTTTTAAGTACTGAAAGAGGTATTTAAAAACATTAATTTAGGCAACAGTATCTGATTTAAATTTGCAGAGCAAACAAAAAGGCTTCTACATACAATGCCAAAACTGTAAAGTTAAAAAGTTAGGAAATGACAAGTTTAAAGGCTGGACCGTGCAACGCAAATCTGTTCTTCTTGCGTGCATAAGTTGTGCTAACTCTTGAATTATGTAATCACATTCTGTCCATTCAGCTGGTACAAAGGACAGCCACAAACTTTTTTTTTTTTTTTTCTTTTCTTCTTTTTTTCGGTCTACAATGCACCAACTGGGACCCAGGAAAGCCGTGTTCTATTCCCGTCTCTACCACAAACTGCCTCTGTGGTTCTTTGCAAGGTCATAATACATAGAGGCAAGAGACTGCTCAAACACCTTAAATTTTTTGTTTTCCTCAAACCTGAATGATTAACTTTGCAAGTTTAGTAAGTATTCTTTGAGAATAGCTTCCTCCTTCTGTATATCATGTAGGCTACAACAGGTACGTTCAGTGTACACTGCCTGTAGTTGGCTGTACAAAAGGACAGATTAAACGTACTGTAGTGAGTATGTTATTTGCTCAAAATAGCAGGCTTCTTTGATGTTTTCTGAATCACACAACCGTGCAAAGTACAGTATTGTTACAGGCCAGCTGTGATTTACATTTCATATTTATCAGCCAAACTATTACAAGTCTTCATTGTTGATATTCCTCTAGCAAACAGTGGAGTCTAACCCCATTGTTCTCTTCTCCCTGTTCTTGATCACCATTTCAGAAAGGTTCTAATTTTAGTACAAAATTCTCTAAAAAACTGCATCTGAGAACAACCGTTCTAACTCATCCCACTTATTTCCAGCCAATTCGCACCACATGATTTCACCTACTGGTTCATGTATGACTTGGGAGCTAACATAACCTTAGTGCTCAACATGGAGACACTGGTTCAGAAACTGTTCGTTGTGAAACACGTGAAGAGAAGAAACCTACATAGGCTTTGTACTACCTTAAAAGATCTTTAAGGATTGGTTTCTCCTTCTCACTAGCATGTTACACATACACAGCATGCAGTTTTTACCTCCTCTGTCTGTTTTGCAAGTCATATAGATTAAAAACTTATACACTCTTTGCAGCATAGTTGCCTTTTTTTTTTTTTTTTTTTTAAAACCACACAAAAGTCCTTTAAGCTCCGTTGGTTTCTGCATTAGCACGCCTCTATAGTACTACTCCTCCCACAACCCCCCCCCCCTCCCCAAAACAAAGATTCAGGTCCCGTGTGTTTACAAGGGCACGTCTTTGAAAACTGGGATAGCTATTTGATCTCTACCCAATTCCTACTTACCAGTTCTTCTTACACATTTTGCTGATGGCACTTACCAATGTATTATAGAATTCTGTACAGAACTTTTCATTTCCAAGAACAGTTATAACTAGTGTTTCAATCAGTAGCAATTAGTTTTAAAATCATGAGAACATACCTTTGGGGAAAAGATGACTTTTATTCATTAACAGACCTTATTAAAACAGAAAATACAATCTAGCTTTAAGTTTGTAATTTTATGACAAATTTAGGAATAACAGCTTAAACTGCTGTGTATCATGATTACAAGCCTCTACTGCAATATTACCGAGGATGTTTTGCTGAACTAAGAACCATGAACTTTTACACACTTGTGGTTAGTAACTGTCTCACCATTTAATTACATCCTTTGGAAATTTCAAAATAAGACCGTTTCCCCGCGTTTTCACCGCAACAGATATTCTATTCTTTAAATTGCTTATCAATTATCCAAGAAAGGCCCTAATTCATGAAGTAAGAAATCTAACATAAGTGACAAAAATTAATTTCTTTCTTAGGTAATTTTGACAGTATTTCTCATCTCTGAAGCCCACAATGATGTGCTTGCCTTAGAGAAGGCTGGTAAGAGTTCCATAGGTGAAAAGTTTATTTGCTAGAAAACCTACCATTCATATCACTGCTGTATTTTAGTACTGGTTCGTCAACTGGCAATTAACTATCAATTAAAAAAAAAAAAAACCACACACACCATCGACACCCACCTGTCTCTGCCTTCTTACTTCTGCCTGCTCAGCATAAAGTCCCCAGTTTGAAAGCACGATAAACCAGCAATACTTCACTTACGAGTTTTCCTACATCATGGACATTCAAGTGTCCTTTTATGACGACTAGAAATGCATTCTGCAGAGTTTTTTGTCATTACCAGAAGGTCATATAGCTGTATAACTGAAAATCTCTTACATACTATAGAGGTCACATTACTGACTACTAATTTTGTTTACTTTGTCATTCATCAAAACAACGTACGTCCCTCACATCAGCAGTGATAGAATGGACACTAGTTAAATTCGTTCCAGAAACCTACATACATAAATTTCAGCTTAACATTACCGTTTGGAGGTCTTCAGTTCTATGGAACCCATTTTTATATGTAATTGGACAGCTCCTTATAATTAAAGTCTTCTTAGCTCATTATAGTAGGTCACGATTGAGGTAACTGTACTTGTGGGTATTGTAGCTTTTATCTTTACTAATAGGGTTTCACAGGTTCAGTTAAAGCATTTCGTGGAGACAGCAGCGTTCGATCAAATTATTCAAGGCTGAAACACAATGCATATGTACAAGAGCGAGTAGTCTAATTAGAGCTACAGAGACATTCTTCATTTGGTATTTCCTAACTTCTGCTTGGCTGTGAAACTTTAACCTAACACACCAACAATTTATAACACTGAATAATGTTAGAGGAAATATGATAAGTTTTACTTAAAAGCTTTTTAAAATCTTATAAATCTTGGAGAAAAGTAATCACTTTATCAAAATTCAGGTGATATTTGTATATGAATGAGGAAGAAATAGTCTTCCTGAAGTCTTGCTGAAGTTCATAGAGCAAGTCTAGGGAACACTGGATGCATTTTTTCCAAAAGCAATACAACTCAGTGCTATCTATATATGCAACTAGAACTTAAGTCCATTTACAATTTTACCCCCAAATACAAGAGAATAATTAGGAGTTTGGTTTCACAGAGCTGATCCTCAGAAGGAATCTACTGCAAAATGAAGACAGTGGGACAGAATCCTTCCTAAGGAAAACAAACTAATAACAGTAACAGTAATCCAATTTACACAGGATCTTGAACACATGCCATGTTAAAACAAACTCTCAGTAGCAGCTTTAAGAGAGGAAAAAGAAAATGTGAGGTTAAAACCAGTCAGTGGAAAAAATAATGGGAATCCAGTGGACAAATTATGAAAAAGTATCAAGCTCCTCACGACAGAAATGACAACAGACCTCCTTGAAACGTGACTCCTTGCTTTTGTCTTTTTTTTTTTTTTTTTTTTTAAACCAACTGTGGCCAGTGATCACCTATTTTTTTTTCTAGTTATGCCAGTTCCACTATTCTTGAGATAGTAGGTCTTTCCTTAACTCAGGTCAACGTTGAGCCAAATACTCCAGTTGAATTCCCAATACAGAGTACCCACAACAGATTTGTGTCTCTAGCAGTAATTTTGAAATAGTACAACACAAAAGTTCACTGCCACTTACAGTAGACGTGAATACTCAGTGCAAAGCTCCTCTCAGAGGAGAAAAAAATATATATATACACATATATATATATTTAACAATACTTTGAAATGCAGTTCATTAAATAAAAAACAGAACAATTTGGTAAGCTTTGAGACCCATAACGTATGTTTAATGCTTCTTATTTTATATCAGTATTTACCAGAGGATACTTTGCAGCACACTAAATTACCACAAAGTTTTGTTTTAAAATAAAGACAGAACATTAAACAAATCTAGTCTATTTAACTGATTTCTTTTTATAGCAGTCACACTGTTCCCTGGACAGCATTTTAAAAAGGAAACACTAAAACCCAGCAACTCCCAACAGTTCACAGTTTAAGTGAGAAAAATCACGACTTTGAGGAAAAACAAACAAACAAAATCAATGGAGACTAATTTAGACATGGATTCTTAAAGAAGGAAAAAAACTCCAGCATGTACAAGTTATATATTAAAAATAATCTAC